AACTCCCCACCACCACCCATCGCACTTGACGAGTCTGGCAAAAAGTTACTCGCTATCGAAGCCATACTTGACTCAAAGCGGAGCAGAGGGAAAAGGAAATTTTTCTATTTAATTTTATGGCGAGGCCAAGACCTCGAAGATAAGACATGGGAGCCTCTCCAGAACGTTGTTAATGCAACAACTTCATTTCAAGAGTTCGAAAGGCGCTTCCCTGACAAGTTAAAGCCAAATAAACGAGAGATTGAGACAGCAAAGAAGAGAGCAACTAATTCTTTGAAAAAATTATTGCCAAATTAAGTAAATCAGGGAATTGGACAGGACCATATGTTAAAGAATAAGATGTAGATTTGGGTCACGTGATGTTATGACGTTAACTCGTCACTCATTCTGTATATAGCTTAACGGAACTCAGCAAGAGTTCCGTTTGCCCTTTGTAGACAATCTATTCCACCACATTTGACCTCGTCGATCTATCTTCCTTTACCGTGACACATATCACCTTAGATGTTAATCATAGCTTGAAAAGATCTACCTTTTGCCTGTTCCAGCACCTCTACTCTTCCCTTTGCCCACCGACAACCTGCCAAGACTATGTGTTTGACGTTTGGTAACGAATATCCGCACTGGCATTATGGAATAGTCACTCCGAGGACCTTTCTTCGGTACAGTATGAGTTAAGTCCAATGCGCTTACTTCTGGTCTGAATTGCGACACTGTTATGGGTCTTACCAAGGTTTCAGTGGATGTTAGAGGTAATTTATCTATATATAATCCATTTTCGGCCTGTTCTCTAGTCTGTGACGAAGTTTGCGGCTTTTCAATATTCTAAATACGACGAGACAGCTGCTCTTTATTTTTACTTATCCATGAGTTTTACCGCTCCTGAAACGCTATGAACTTACGAGCTTCTTTATTCTCAAATTTTCCTTTGCGTTGTCACAAATCTTTGTCCAATCGACAATATCGAGAAGACGTTACGTGAAAAAGGCAGCTCGACCGTAGACTACGCTTTATTATGTACATGCTCGTAGTATACTGTTACATTACCTTTCCCTACTCAGGCCTGCAAGATTTGTATGATAATGGTAAGCCATCATTCTAATCCCTATTATTTTCTGTGAAACTGTTCTCGTTTATTTTTTGCATTAAATTAATTGCGTATGTGGCTATCTAGCTATGATACAATACCAGAGAAGATAAGATAAGAATTTTACTGTAGTTCCTTCTGAGTCTAAGGCTACAAAGGACATTAAATCATAAAACATTACAGAAAAGATGACTCAGTGTAAAAGAAGAGCACTCATGTCTCAGATTTCATTTGCTAGTACCACTGCGAATTGAATTGAATGCATTTCGTATCAGGCTTACGCCCTACACCCAATAGGCGTGATATAGGTCTGTGCTCCCTAGGGACACACAACAACCTAGGTACATAGTTTGCTTGACGAATCAATAAGTAGAAAACAAAAATAAGTAATTTATTCCAACAAAATAAGCGCCCTGCGCCTTTTCTTTTTAGTAACCCTTCGTGCTGTGAAAAATTTCCTTTGGCAGGACTTAATCCTCCCGAAGTACCACTGCAAAGTTATGGCAGCTTTTTTTTGATAATTGTACTACTTGAGTCATAGACAATCTATCATAATGGGCTTTTCTCTGACCCAGGCCATACATTATACAGTGCTCCTTGCCTCTCATGTTACTCGAAAGATCGTTGATATATTCCCCTTGATGAATAGCCATTCAACTCAGTGTATACCCGTGGAATTCGGCCACCTTTTCCACGGAACCTTCTACCCAAAAGAAAGAGTAAATTGTAGCAATGAAAACTGCGTGCGCGGGAAAAAGTCTCAAAAAACCTGCAGCCCCAGCCAGGCGCGGCCTAGACACCGGGACCACATGAGGTGCGCATATTCATCTATATCTCCCTTCTTTGTAACATTCGAGGCTGACTTGATCCAATTCGCCATCTCCGTATTAGGTGCTGGGTACGTTCCGTGTCGAACCTTTTGAGCTGGTTCGGAAGCTGTAATGATTGAGACTAGAGGTATCTGGAAGAATAGCTCGCACAGGAGCTTTTAATTGAAGTGAAATAAAAAGATGTAATTGTCTGTCTGTCTTCCTTCCTCTTTCTCTCAGCTTATATATCTACACAGATCTACTACCTGACGTAAGATGATAATATCTAGAAATAGCTTACTTACATCACAGGATACAATCCAAACATGTTGTAGCCAAGATGTAATCCTAAACCGACTCAATACCAGTCCACCACGTCTGTTACACGGACGCCAAGTATTTTCTAGCTGAAAATTACCCAAAACGCCAAGGTTTTCCTGAGGCAATCACAAAGTATGTCAGGTACCAGCTTGGCATATTATTCTGACAATAATGTTACGATCATGTTAGAAGAATGGAATTTACATGAATCACGAAACATTAATTCAGGAATACGAATTCCACCGGGTTCTGATACTGGTCTGACACTCCGGAAACTCATCGTATGGCTTTTCCTCCATGATCAAGGGTTGGTGATGAGTAGGGCTCCGACCCTACCATCTGATCTGATCGTGGTTATCTTCATGATAATAGTGAAAGGGGAATGTGTCGAGAGATGAAGACGATACAGACCGCGAAAGCGATTGGGAATCGTCACCGAAGTGAGGACTTTGTTACTCAATCTCGGCTCTGCAGACTCTACAGTGAGAGCTGGAGGTTCGTAGGGGACACCACTGACAGGTATTGAGAATAGTCCCCCGAGTGTGACAGGTATCATTTTACCTGGCACGTAAATGAATAATCAATCAACTATATTTGATCTTTTTTACCATGATAGCTTTGTATTATTTTCGCGTGGACAGTGAGGAAATTTTAAGGCATATAAAGAAGCCCACGCAATAGACCATGCGTTACGGAATTATATGATTTGATTTGATTTCAATTAGCCCGTTCAGGTACCCTATGGATTCATGCAGATATTTCTAGCTACAATATTAACAAAGGAGGAAACCAAATTGGTAAAAACCCCCAAAACTGTCTGTCTCATGTCTATTGATTTTTCTGAGGTTTCTCTTAGGAAGTGCGCTTATCCTGTTTATAAAGTGTGAATTCCGTCCAATACTTGTCCGTATCCTCTCATCTTTTCGTCAAACGCAATTTCTGCTTCTCTTACGAGCCGGTACTGTTCAAACCAGCCTTTTGCCAGGATCTATTTTGTCATTCTCTACAGATAAACTGGGCTGTTCAAAATTGCCTCACAGGACCTATATTTTGCGTTTCAAAGTATCTCTCCTCTTCCTCTTGCACACGGAGAACACGCCATGACCATAAGTTTGACATTTTGAGACAGATATCCACACTTAGCATCTTTGATTAATCACTCTCGGAGCTTTCCTTCAATATAGATAGGAGTTGAGGTCGATATGCTCACTTCTTCTTGGAACTATAAAACTGCTTTTGACCCGGCTAAGACTCCGGTGGATATTTGAGGGTGTGTTGCTACAGGTATTCCTTTTCCTACCTGCTCCTCTGTCTAAGGGTATTCAGGGTTTCCAATATTCAGGGTCTGCTGAAGCTCGATGACCAGATAGTTTCTCGTTCTATGGAAGTGTCCATGAGTTTTTCCACTCCTGGAACGCGGCCACCTTACCGGCACCTTTCGGTCTCCCTCTCGCATTCTCCATGCCACAAATTCTGGTCTATTCTTCAATGTCTAGCTTTCGATTTTTGGCGTGTCTAGTAAATTACTTATCATTAGGAGTAAGATTAATTGAGGCTGTAGAGAAGGACACATTGTTATTATTATTTCATTTTATTGACCTGTCTGAGTCCGTGACTATTCAGGCAGGCCACATTGTTGATATACACGTGACTAAACATTATGTACTTATTTTCACTTCGTTAGTTACCTGATTTAATGCGCTCTTTACCCTCAGTGAATGAGGGGTCATTATTTCCTTAGTGTTCCCGTTAAACTCCTATATTGAACTAACTACATAGAGAGATAATAACGGGATTACGGTGCCATAACGGATGTACTTGAACTAAATCTTAAAGATTAACACTACTGCTCAGAGAGTGTAACTCTATTTTTTTTAAAAATTATGGTCAGTGATTCCGTCTACTTGGAAGTCTACGTGGATTTTGCTGAAGAGAAAGTTTGGATTTAAGTTGGCATCACAAGAACATGTCCAAAAAGTCTGAAAAATTAAGGTAGGTGGCTAGAAATCTTTAGAAGAGTCCTTGACGACATGCCTATCTAGGTTTAGGAAATTGAACTATTTGTAAATTTCAATATCTAACAGGAGCGTTGTTAATTAATTTTTTGACGACCCTGTAGCCTTATACCCTGGCGGATAGGGTAAAGTAACTCAAATGACAAGTTGATACATGGATTTCGCCAACCAATGAGGAGGGCTTCAATAACCGTCTCCTAAAGATAGGAACAGGATGAAGTTTGAAGGATTCGCATGTGCCTGATCGTTTACAATATGTTCCATGTGGATTTTTACCTCATATCAGTTAGATTACTCACCCTAGTAGCGCAAGGTTACTGTGGGCTCCCTCACAAGATTTCACAGAAGGAAAGTTCAACCTGCGATTTTAGCCTCGTCCTTCTCAATTCAAGCCGGCTTGTGGGCCAACCCGAGCAATCACTGGAATGCTGTGACAATGTGGTACCATCTCTGGCTAAAATTTCGCCAAGAATGATTGATGAATTGCCTTCCGAGGGATAATTCACCCATCTCTGATTATTCCATGCTAGGTGTCGGTTCGTGGAAAGGAAGATGACAGAAGCAAAAGTGGTGGTGAAAGAAGGCTGACAGGCCTTGGTACATCCACCCGTGCTGTTGATTTCTGTTGCCTCTGGCGTAGCAAATCCTGATCTTTGAACTAGATAAGTAATTACAACTTCTAGATTATTTGTGAAATCTATTTCAAAGAAATGAATAAATGAACAAGGAGCTCTGGGGATCTCAGGTACTGCAGTCCATTGGGCCGTCATGTCGTCTGCAAAACAGCGGGAACAGATTCGCAGAACGCGGTCCAGGCCTATCATTTCTTACGCTGAATCATCGAGCAGCAAGTCGGATAGTGAGATTGATGCTGAAGAATCGGAATCTGAATTAGATATTAAAACACGCCAACGCCCACTCCGTACCTCCTCTCGCTCGCAGAAATGTGCGCCTCCACGCAAACGAATAATCGTCAATAGACACAAGTCCAAATCCATCCGCAATCAGCGCAGACGTACTAAACGAAGACGAACTTTGGATACTCTTCCTAAAACACCAGCTACCCAGCCAACAGAATCTTTTCTAGGTTCTGGTGTCATACCGCCCTGGCAAACTCTTCCATACTACATTTTTATTCGTATATTTCAGTTTGCATCATACCCATTATACGAGGAAAATACCTTTCAACCATTGCCTTCGACAAGATGGTTACTCCGAATTGCTCAAATGTGCCGTGCATTTTCCGAACCAGCAATAACCGTCTTATATTCTTCACCACCCCTAGTACCTATGGTTCAAGCGCATATGTTAGTTGACTTATTGAAAATGAATCCAAAGCAGCTGGCTTTCAAGTATCGACAGAAAGTAGTCTCACTTCGAATCGAAGTTAGCCAAGTTGCTACCTACATACTCAGAAAAAGTGGATACGTAGATCTTTATGGTCTTGTGCGGGATCTTCCTAGACTATTAGATTTGGAATTCTACCATCAGAAGGATATGTCACCCTACCGAGATCTTGATGTAACGATCAAGTGGAATTATCCCGACTCAGTTTTTGAGGCCCTGGAATTCATCGATCCAACCGCAAATATTCAAAAAGGAGACAAGACTAGCATATGTAAGCTTCGAAGTTGGCGATGGTCTTCAAGGCTAGCCGGGAAAAAATGGTCAATTGAGAAACTTGTAAAAGTACATCTCAAACCAACCTTTGCGTGTCTACGCAGACTTGCTTTCGTGAACTATCAAATACCTAATCTCAGGGATGATGAAGAAGACCCAAATCATGAAAAACATTTGGCAGAATCTTTACGTGTCTTACAAGATTTAGAGAGTCTAACCTTTGAGTCTTCAACTTTAGTTAATTCCAAATTGTTGCCACTTCTACCTCAAAACCTTCGCGAATTACAGCTTATAAATTGCTGGGAAGTTACTTCTGAGGATTTTGCGGACTTTCTAATAACTCACGGCCAAAACTTACACTCTCTCACTCTCGACCACAATCAATCCCTAAACCTTGCCTTTCTAACCGTCCTTGGGAATGCTTGTCCGAGTCTACAGATTTTTCGGATGAATATGACATACTTTAATATACATACTAGTTATCGAGATTGTGAACCAATATACGACCATCTGCTTCTCCCGGATCAAGTTCCCGTATGGCCTACTAAACTCCAAAGCATTGAACTTATACAACTACGTAAGTGGGAGACAAAAGCTGCAGAAATGTTCTTTACAAGCCTTTTACAAAGTGCGACTAGTCTCTCTGACTTACGCCGTCTCTCTTTACAGGTGATCCTCAACATTGGCTGGCGAGATCGAGCGAATTTCCGAGATAAGTGGGTAGGTCTTCTCAACCAAGTGTTCAAGCGCATCTCATCATCACCCTTGCCTCACCATACGATTCACCCAGTTACAGCAAGATTAGATGAATCGGAACTGAAGTGTTTATCTTCCACACAAATCAATTCTGGCTCACGCCTCAGTCATAGCCCAAATTCTCCAGTGAATTGTCCGGTGAATAACTATCAAGACGAAGCTCCGCGGCGCTCCCGTCGGGCTATGGTACGCGCCATTCCCCATGGCCGATACGTCGAGTCATCGTCATCGAACCTCTCAGAATCAGACGAAGTCTCCCACAAACATAGTACAGTCTTTCAGCCACCTACTACTACGAAAATGCACGCACGTCTGGTTCGCGAACTTAATATCCTGAAAGCTACGGGTGGTATCGAACTCCCTCCCCTCACTTCCTCACCGCCCGGATCGCCCTTTGACCTGAACTCTACTATTTGCTCCATTACGGCCCACCAGAACCAAGCGACGCCTATCTCAATTCATGCTATGTGTGATTCCGTCGAAATCAGGATTGATAATTTACGCCCTGCTGAAACACAAGTAACCGAAGCCGACTTTCTCGATGAAGAACCTAGTGGTGATGAGGATTGGAACTCTACAGGGGAATAGCTGGTTATTGAATTGTAATTCTGGGAGGAACAGGCGTTACAGGCTTATTTACGAAGCGATACAGTGCTCATATTTTGGCATGACTCTGATCAGGGACATGTGATGGTCCCGATTCTCAGGTGATGATAAATCAAACTTACCCATTGTCTCAGTCGAGATTTATCAAGGGGAGCTTCTTGATCCCAAGACTTGTCCTGAACGCTCTTTATTGACGTGACTTGACTATACAAAGTTCTTTATACGTTAACAGATATCTAATGATTGAGGACAGTAAACTCTAGCTCAGTGTCTTCAGCATTCAGAGTTTGGAATTTCGCTGTCTTCCTAAACAGAACATATCTGGGCTTGGGATCCGAATCCTATGTCTTCTGTACTCTGGCTTTCATCCATATTTGATTCTCACATTAATGAACCTAGTTGTTAATCAGTGAGATGATGACAGTTTACCTACAGACTGGCAAAGGTTTGAAAATTTGTAGCTCTAGGAATTCGTAGCTCTAGGCCTAGAAATTTCGCAGATATATTTGTATGAGATAAATCAGGTTAAATTATTATTTCAGAAGATAGTAACCGAAATATCGAATGAAGTATAAGAAAATGAAATATTTTCAATGTTACAAGCTAGTCGTTGGGATGTATCTCCGCCGAACCAGGCATTTTCCCCATATGCAATTATCTGCTCTCTAGGTCCGTTCACTTTTATTCTTTTTACATATCGCTTGCTTACAAAAAATTTCTTCCTGATCACATAAAGTCCGATTTCATCCGAGCGATTACTTGTCCGACCTTGGAATCCGTTAGAATGTTAATAGATGTATTTGGAGTGATGCTTACAATTCAGCCAAGATCTTTTCTCCCTTGGCCCTAGCAGCGTCGATGTCTCCCACCATGTAAAATGCACCCTCAGGAAGATCGTCACCCTCACCATTCATGATAGCCTTGAATGAGCGAATGGTATCCTTCAGGTCGACAAGTACACCTTCGATACCAGTGAATACCTGAGCTACAGCAAAGGGTTGAGAGAGGAATCTCTGCAGCTTCCGAGCGCGCTCGACAGTTAATTTGTCAGCTTCAGATAGCTCATCCATGCCTCTGTCATCTTATCAGTAAATCTTTATTCAACATTGAAGCTGATCTTACAAAATGGCTATAATATCCTGTAGTGATTTGTATTCTTGTAGCATCTGTTGCACCTTTGTTGCCGTATCATAATGGTCTTGGCCAATAATACGAGGATCCATCATTCTGGATTTGGAGTCAAGCGGGTCAACTGCAGGGTATATTCCCAACTCTGAAATACCACGAGAAAGAACGGTGGTTGCGTCGAGATGTGCAAAGGTTGTGGCAGGGGCAGGATCAGTCAAATCATCAGCGGGCACATAGACGGCTTGCACTGACGTAATTGAACCTTTTGTGGTAGTAGTGATACGTTCTTGCATGAGACCCATATCAACCGCAAGGGTAGGTTGATAACCGACGGCAGAAGGAATTCGACCAAGAAGAGCGGAAACCTCAGATCCAGCTTGGGTAAAACGGAAAATATTATCGATGAAAAGAAGTACTAATTTATTTGGTATCAGCTACAGCAAATATTCTTTATCGTAAAGTTTTGGAAGCGCGAAATGACTCACCATCTTGACCCTCTTCGTCACGGAAATATTCTGCAATGGTTAGGCCAGTTAAGGCAACACGGGCACGAGCTCCAGGGGGTTCGTTCATCTGTCCAAAAACTAATGCAACCTTTGACTCCCCATCAAGTTGTATAACTTTTGTTTCTTGCATTTCATGGTACAAGTCGTTACCTTCTCGAGTACGTTCACCGACGCCAGTGAAGACTGAGTAACCTCCGTGTGCTTTGGCAATGTTGTTAATTAACTCTTGGATAAAGACAGTTTTCCCGACACCTGCACCACCGAAAAGTCCGATCTTACCACCGCGAGCATAAGGGGCGAGTAAATCAACGACTTTTATACCAGTAACTAATACTTCAGCTGCGGTAGACTGGTCAGTAAAAGCTGGTGCATCAGCGTGGATTGGGAGTTTTTTGGTGTGCTTAATGGGTCCACGCTCATCAATTGGATCACCGGTGACGTTCATTATACGACCGAGGGTGCCAGGACCGACAGGTACGGAAATCGGTGAGCCTGTGTCAGTTGCGCGATGACCGCGGACGAGTCCTTCGGTTCCTATTTTGCGTGTCAGATTTTCATTTCGGCCTCCAGATTATAACATCTTACCGTCCATAGCAATTGTTCTTACGACATTTTCTCCCAAGTGTTGCTGATTGATGGGTTAGCTTTCAAAATTATTACGTGAATGAGTTGACATACTGCAACTTCAAGAATAAGTTTTTGACCTCCGTTACTAGTCTCCAGGGCATTGAGAATTGGCGGAAGCTTGTCGGTGTCAAATTTTACTGTTTGAGAAGTTAATAATCTTGCTTCGTCTTGAAGATTTACTTAGATCTTAATGCGAGTAAAATCCTTCAACGTGTCAAAGTAGGGTTTTGCGATTACTTACCATCTACGACAGCGCCGATTACTTGATGGATTTTTCCATGAATAGCACTATCACTTGCAAATCGAGAGCCATACACCTTCGAGCAAGTGTAGAGTGATGGTTTAAATGCGCTTCTTGAGGCCCGGAGGGCACTTGATTTTGTAAGAGCGCTACTTTGAATTAATGTCTATTTGTTTAAATTCTGTATTTAATGGCTGGAAGTCTTGTGTTAAGTGTTACGCACCTCCGGAACATCTTCAGATATTGATATGAACAATTGAGGTAAGTGCGGATATGTTGAGATGCTGTCTGTTTCGAGAAGTATGGAAGGCAATTGTCGACCTTGCGAAGGAATGATCTTAGCTTAAATTATCACATGACACTTTGCACGTTATGGAAAGCTCTCGGCCACCGTAATTGTTGTCAAGATATAACATTAACTACGATTTAGGATTTGTTTTCATTATCCTGATTTGGCGCACTATGGGCCCATGCAGGTGTCTATCATACTTTCTAATTTACATGGGAGAAAACCTTTTGTCGAAAACCCCCCAAACCTTCCTGCTTAATTTCTATGTTTTTTGTAAAGTATCTTTTAGGAAGCGCAGTCACACTATAATGCCCTCCATGTAACCCAATCACATCAGCTTTATTGACCTCAAGAAAGACATGACCTTTTCCTTTCCCTCAGCAGTATTTCCACCGCTTTTGTCATCTGGAACTGCTCTATCCAACCATGGTTTAGGATCCACTGTGTTATCTTTATGATATCTCCAGAATTGTTTAGCATAGCTTCGTAGGACCGATCTTTCGCTTGTCTCCAGATTTGTCCTCTTCCATTTGACCATCGGGGGCAGGACATAATCATGTGCTTGGGGTTCTGCGATTGGTAGCTACATGGACAGCTTGGACTGTAGACTCCGGGTACTTTTCTTCTGTGTAAATACAAGCTAAGCCCCATGTGCTCACTTCGTATTTGAGTCGCTAGACTGCTTTGGGCCCTTGTCAGGTTTCGAAGTAGGAATGGCGATTCCTGGAGACTAATTTTCCATCGATCTGACTTTCGGTTCTGATAGAACTTGACTACTCTCCAGGTCTCGGGGTTGCCGATTGTTTTATATCGAGATAATTGGAGCCACCTTTGATTTTTCCAGGATTTCGCCCATTCTTTGTGTGCTGCAACTTTTCCTGCCTCTTTCTGCCGTTTTTGTGACTGGTCTCCCCACAAATTTCCACCCAGTTTGTCAAATCTAACCTCCTATTATTGGCGCGAATGTCTTCTCTCTCCTGTTTGGGCAGCTTGATATTACCACAGGCAGATTGTATGAGCTTTTGGACTGGTAGGCTTTTCGAGCGGCCAATGTATTGGAGTCTTTGCGTTAACTACGATTACTAATTACTGTAATTATTTGTAGATTGTGTGACTACTGAAATAACATTTGTTTCTAAACTAAAGAATTTTATATAAATTAACGACGAAATAATCCTTCACACAAATCTTTTACATCCGAATCCTTTCATTTTACAGCGTTCTCTCAAGTGCAAGAACCTTGATTTAAATTAGCTGAGGTTGAACTACATAATCGTACAAACTTACTATAGCTGTTCTTGTCGGAATGTAAACTTGCATGGAGTTTTTTCTATCGTGCATGCTTTCTGGAGAGGTAAAGTATCTAGAAGAAGGGTCAATGCGTCCAAAACCTCCATTTGACTTGGCATCAGTGTCCAGAACGACCTTAAATACACCCTCTTGTTCAACACCAAATCTATAATCAGCAAAACTCTCAGTCGGATGAAAATTAAACACCCAAACCAAACCTGCACGCTCAAAAACAATGATCTTATGCGATTCGTTTTTCAAGTTGATATAAGCCTGGTCGGCGTGTAGCCAACCATATTTCTGTTCTAAATTGTTCATGCATGCATCGAATTCGTTGAGGAATTTGTAACGAAGAAGATGATCATCTGTCAAATTAAACTGTCGGCGTGCATACCAGTAACTATCATTATTTCCAACACGTGGAAAGTCGAGCCATTCCGGATGACCAAACTCGTTACCCTCGAAGTTGAGGTATCCTTCTCCTCCAAGGCCATGAGTGAGTAAACGAATCATTTTATGCAAAGCCATTCCCCGTTCTATAACAGGCGTTAGCTCTGTGAGAGTAGACATATTTGAATACATCTGAGCGTCACATAGATGCATCATGATTGTTTTATCTCCAACCAACCTAGAATAACTTAGCCTTACTCTCCCTTAGATGTTTAGACTTACGCCTGATCGTGACTCTCGCAATAAGCAATAGTTTTTTCACGATAACGCCGGTTGGTTAGGGTAAAGCAGATATTAGCCATATCCCACTCTTCATCTCTTTTTTCTTTTAATACTTTAATCCACATATCGGGAATGGCCATGGCAAGTCGATAATCAAATCCGACACCCCCCAATGATAATGGTAAGCATAGTGCAGGCATTCCAGATACGTCTTCTGCAATTGTAATCACTTGAGGATAGATCTGGTGTAACATTTCGTTTGCAAGCATCAAATAAGAAATGGCGTCATCGTCCACACCAGGTCCAAAATATTCATGATAGCCACCAGAAAACCCCCTAGATATGTCAGCGAGTGTAGTTATCTTTTTGCTATGTTTGACTAACGTTCCGATTCCGTGGTGAGTGTAAAGCATGCTAGTAACGCCATCAAATCTAAACCCATCAAAATTATACGTATCCATCCAAAAACGTAGATTGCTGAGTAAAAATCGTAAGACTTCGTGTGAGCCATAATTAAAAAGCCTACTATCCCACAATTCGTGATTACCCTTAGGACCAGAATGGAAATAGCAATTATCTGAACCGTCAAATTCATTCAGGCCATCTAATACGTTTTTCGATGCGTGACTATGGACGACATCCAAGAGCACCATTATACCAAGCTCATGAGCAACGTCGATGAGCTCTTTTAAATCTTCTGGAGATCCATATCTACTGCTAGCGGCGAAGAAATTATTGACCTGGTAGCCGAAACTCGCATAATATGCATGTTCCATTACTGCCATTAGCTGAATAACGTTATATCCAAGGTACTTTATCCTGGGTAATATGTTTTTGGTGAATTCCTTATAAGTGGCTACTTTTTGTTCAGGGGAAGATATCCCAACATGCGCTTCATAAACCCGAACACTATTCGGCCTTTGAGGACGAGGATGCTTAAAGTTGTACCGCTCAGATTCGGGGGGATTCCAGAACCGAGCATCATAAACAGGCGATACAGAGATTTCTTGCGTCACAAATTGTATCCATGCTGGGATTCGTTCAATACGCTCTCCAGAGGGAACTATAAGTGATATCTAACTTGTCAATTCTAAATCGACCACAGTCTGACTAGGAAGACACACCTTCAGCTTAGAATAATGTGCAATAGTTGGGGCGCCATCTTTTGCGTTCACCACGATTTCAAATACTCCGTATCTATCTTTGGTCATAGGATGGCTATCTCGATTCCAGTCGTCTATGAAAATATTGTTAAGAGGGTATTGATGATGCTTGAAAATTTCTACTCACTGAAATCACCAATGAGAAATGCTTTAGTTGCATTGGGTGCCCACTCTCTGTATGTGATGTTATTTTGCTCATCGATGTTAAATCCAAATTTTTCAGTTCCCTGACGAGTTTAGCAGTGGAAATTAACTGGCACATATTTGGGCGTCAGACTCTACTGAATTGTTCTAGGCCTCCCTCTGTGTCTTCGATTACTTTTATCCAATCTTGAGCTTTAGTGTATCTTGACTTCAGAGAGTCTGAAAATGGCGAGAGCCAGGGATCTAGTTTTACAACGCCTCAAGGAATATTTTAGTATTATTTGAATAAATCTGAATGTTAGAGCTAAATTACCAGTTCCGTCTTTGGGGATTTCAGTTCCGGCTTTGCATGGACAGGAGTCAGTCATTATTTCTTTGGAGATATCCGTAGATATTGTCTGCTTGATTGCAACTGTAAGCTTTTTATCGGTAGAATCGGATAGATAGGACGTATTACTCTAAGCACTCAGCTGATATCTGATCTGGCGGACATAAAGTTGTTGAGCTGAGCTCTTATCTAATGACGTCAGAATACAGGGATCCAATCAACATGAATAGGATGTGGTTAGGCCTTGATTCCAATTTATATCTTCGTATCCGTGCCCCATTATTCCGCCCAACTATTATCTCAACATGACTGTTCTTACTGCAAACGCTGAGAGATCATATCGCACAACCAATACCACATATTCATGGTGTCTGGAATGAAACATTACCTTCGCCCAGCTGGTTGGATGATGGCTCCCGAGGATGCTACCCGTAGTTTTTGCAGCTTGGTTGACTTCCGATATTTTCCATTAATCGCTAACCGTCTTGGAATTAGCTCCTTTCATGCACCTCAGAGGTTCAACCTTAATCAGTCTGCTTTGTACTAGTCTACCGCTATATAGGTTACGATGAATCATTTCTGGCTTTCATTATCTTTACACCCGTCGCTATGCCTACACGTTAAATTTTATGTCGTCCAGTAAGACAGCCCAAAGTTTTCATGTCACTACACGTGACTGAGAAGTTGGCATCCCCATAGTTTCCAAGCCCCTTTAACGCTCACAATTATGACCCTTATTGGTGGGCGTATTCACTGTGTAACTGCTAGCAGTATGTCGTCAATGATTCCTGTATTCTCTACTCTCTTTAATGCTAAGGGGAAGATTTGATGGAAGTGTGTAACATGATGTAGCAACGTGACAACATGGACTACTGACAATAATCCGACAGCCTTATCCTAAATACATACACCTAACTGCACTGCTAGATGAAGCACATAACTTCACCACTTTTTTTCGGCATGGAACTATTATTTAATTTATCACTTACTGCGTTTAAACTCTGATCCCTTTTCCCACACGACTTCCATCGTTGAAATTGTACAAGTAGATTGAAGTGAAATTTTCGAGGTGAGTGGTGATAAGATTTCATACATGAAAAGTTTCAAGAAGCAACATAAAATAAGAGTTACTCGGTTGTTGAGATGCGACCCATAGAAAGACATTCACTCCATCCGCGGGTTACACATTTGTAGCTAAGTGATTATGCGGTACTGAAATCTGCGGACTAATCCTCAGATCAAGAAACTGATCACATCTTCTGTGGAGAGATTTGTCATCCTTTTTTTTAGATAATTTAATGTGTATGCAGATATGTGGCTATGACTCATGACCAGTGCTATGTTTACATATTGGATGACTCTTTTGACGTTAGAGACACTCATACTCTGGATTTCATTCGCAAATACCACTATGAGTTATGTTCGCTCACACAAACAGTCCACCCTCCGGAGGGCAAGACTGAACACCTGTACGCGAAGTCCTCTACGAACCTGGGAGTGAAATTCTCCCCCAGAACCAAGTACAGTCAAATTTCGCAATACCAATGAAGTTGGCCCACGAGGCAATGATGCAACATACTCCACCACGTCAAATTTTCACTCCTAACGAGTTCGAACCCTACCTAAGCCTCATCAAGTTTACAAGTATGACCTAGTACATCCTTATTCCAATGACCACACCTCTCGTCGACTTTATCTGGCCTCAGCTGGTCGCCAGATACACGCCCACGCCGATATTTACACCCGACGGAGGAAGCAAAGCGTGGCGCACAAATCTGGGAGACAGTTCTTTAGGATTGGCGTGAGAGGATTCGGGACATGTTAACAACATGATGCAAAGGATAAATTCAGTCTCAACGGGCGTGGAATTTTGAATTTTGGCATGGAGTTTTTACAAATTGAGCTTTGTGCGTGCCAAGACTTCGGCTGCGAGAGTGCAGGCGACACTATAAAAACTGACATGGTTGGATGGTGCGGTGGTACATCGTCTGGGCTGGTCTGCTAAGTAGAGTCTGGATAGCTTGGACACATATCCCACTTGAGATAGTACATCGCTGGTTCAAATCTGGCAAAACACAACCACATTTCTCGCGGCGCTGGTGTGCATGGATGACGAAGGCGTGCTTGGATAACCAAATGTTTTGAAACGTCCCTTTGGTGGGTACTTACGGAGGAGGGTTGACTATTTGTGTAAGCAAACATACCTCATAGTGGTATTTGCAAATGAAAACCAGAGTATGAGTGTCTCTAACGATAAAAGAGGCATCCTTCATGTATACATAGCGCCGGTCATGTGTCATAGCTAGATATCTGCATACACATTAAATGATTTAAAAAAAAAAAAGAGAAGACAAGGATATCCCATGGTGGAAGTGCACTGATGCGCTCGGAAAAGTCTACTCGAGTACGATTAAGCGGAGCTTTAAAGGAGGGAGGTAAGAGCCGAGGGCGGAGGAAGGGCGAAATGAGCTTCAATTATTCGGTGAAGCGAGATTGTACGCGAGGGTCTTTTAATCTTCTGAACGAAGGATGAAAGACGTCCGCGGAGGCGTATCTCCTCAAGTAGAATATGAGCTGACTTGAGCCAAATCTCTCTCAGAAATGCAGCAGTGGGAGTAGTTCTATATACTGGTAGGATTGCTCTGGCCAGGTTGACTAGAGCTCAAGAGATCATGTCTACTAGGTGTTGAGATCGGGTTGAAGTTGAACGTCCTCGGCGGAGATAAGTGTGACCGCGCCACCAGACTTCAGAACCACAAAAAAGGACCGGTAGCCCCGCAGCTAGGGCTGCAGTGCGTAGAAAAGTTGTTGGTACACCACGGTTGGTATTTCTAAGCTGTCGTACATGGATGCTAATCTGTTGCGTTTTAGCACTCCGTTCTTGAACATGTTGTTTGAAAGAGAGCTTAGTGTCGAGGAAGACACCTAGCCATCTTAGAGTAAAGTTTGTATTTCTTGGGACGCCATTGATGATGACCAGAGGAGAAGGTTGACGAGATCTGTGAAGATGAAAGATTTCGGTCTTGTTTTCTGCCAGAGAGATTCCATTCTGCTTGCACCAACGGGTGATGCTTCCGTGTGACGGCTGGTTCCTGTAGCCTATGTTGGCTAACATAGGCTTGGTCCGATTTAGGGTGCGCACGATCGATCGATCTAATATCGGAGCATCGGAATCTGCATAGCATCCGATTCAACAGTGCAGCTCAACACGGCACCACTTGTCGGTGAGAAGCAATCGGCTGGGAATATACGAGATCGGACACAACCTCCTCAATTGATAGTGCAATGACGTCGTAGAACATGAGGCTCTTTTGTATATATACATGTGTAGATAAATCTTGTAGTAGTTCTCTCCTTAGAATTATTATCTACTACCATCAACCACATAGTTGCTCCAGCACCTGTCCTAGAATCCGTGACATTCCGACCCTGTTGGTGGTCAGATGAGAAGTATCGGCAAGAGTTTTTGCGACCGAGAGGATTGCTACGTCGTCTACGTATCTAAATGTAGGAAACCCGAGTTTAAATAATGGATCGAGAAAGAGGAGAAACTATATAGGGAAATTAGGGGATCCTTGAGGCAAGCCATGCGAAATATCCAAGAAGTCTAAAATCATCCACTCTGAGACGAGCCTTCCTGCAAGAAGCAAAGGAAGCAGCCCAATTCACGTATGGCAAAGGCCATCCCTGTTCGCGAAGACGAGCGTGGAGACGGCCAGGCTGAATACTATCGAAAGCACTTTGGATATCGAGGGTGGCGAGAGTGCACACCTGCTTTGTCTCCCACGCTTTTTCGACATTGTGAACCAAACATTCTATGAGATCCATGGCAGACCTTCCGGGTAGCGCTCCGAAATGCACCGGGGAGATAATGCGATTTGACAAGGCCCGGAAGGCAAAGCGTCTTGCAAGGAGGCGTTCCGGCCCTTTCCCGAGAACTGAGGAAGCGAAATCGGTCGCCAATTGGTAGGATTGGTGAGATCGTCCTTGTGTGGTTTAGGAATGACCACCACTTCGGCGCGGCGGAAGATGCTGGGGTGGTGACCATATGCTAGGTAGAGGCTGTAAAGGTTGTCAATCCACGAGCGCCATGTACCTACTTCTCATACCAGGCGTAGAGCTGAGATAGAAAGGTGGTCATGTCCCGGAGTAGTTTACGAAACTTCCAGAAGACAGTGGCGCACTTCATCTACGTCCACAGAGAGAGGTGCGGGGATCGCACGCAGTCATCAGGTGGGTGTATTTATAGGTATATCCGGTAGATCAATTAAGCGGGAAAGCTTAGTTCGAAAGATTATATCTGCCCGCTCGGTCGGGGTGCTGTACGCCACACCTTGAAATTGAATAGGAGGAGGGCCAAAGCGACTAGATGACTTCCGCCATCCAACGACTTCATGGGCCTTCAAGGTCGAAGAAACGTTATCCAACTTGAGCCGCTTGTGTTCGCGTTTGGCTCGTCTTACAGATTTCCGGAAATTATTGTGTGCCTCACTAATGAGTTCTTGATCATCGGTATGACGGCCTTCGAGATACCGACGCAGTTGGTCTGAGCATTCGTGGTTCCAATAATCTTTGCATGGAACACATGCAGGCCTCGGAGGGTTAGCTGCAAGCAAAGTTGCCGAGAGAGCGGCAACGCCCGATAAAGTCACCGCCTCCAGGCGTTGGGGGGATGGGTCCTCAAAGGGAAGAGTAGGAGGTGCGGTAGCGGAGAGGGCTAGACGAAATACCTCAGCATTTTCGTCGTTAAATCTGGGCAGCTTCAGCATTAGGTGTCGTCTTTGTGATGACGAGAGCTGGACGAAGCCGGATATTGTCTCGTGGTCGGAGGTTGAATGTGTCTCCGGATCCACACGGGCTAGAAGTCCTTCCATGTTTGACAGTACTAGGTCGAGGACATGGCCAGCGCGATGGGTGGGAGCTCCGTAAGGCAATGCTGACCTCAAAGAATAGTTGTCAATCCATTCAACAAAGCTGCTGACGCCAGACGACCGGGAAACTTTGTGCTCCCATAATTCGTGGTGAAGGTTAAAATCTCCC